TGGAAATAAACCCTGTTCTATACAGGAATTCATCAGGTTTGTCAGTGGCTCGATCAGAAAATCCCTTATCAGATTTAATAATATGCTGTTCAAATTAAACACATCCATTGCTGGTGATTTTTTGAGGTTACTAATAATATCTCTAGTTTCACTGACAGTAACAGGAAATAGGATGCACTGATGGGTGCAAGGTAGAAAAAGAAGAAAGGAAGCAATAATTTGAAAATAAAGTCTATACGGAGAAGTTACTTTCAGATACAAAATGTTGCGGTAATAAGATAAGTGTCTTATTCCGAAACGTCGAAGTTCGCCATTGAAGATATAAGTATGATGTAAGTATGACGATGTAAGTAGGATTGTATATTCTTCATGGAACTGTTTTTAACAGTGAAGGAACCATCAACTGATACCATAAACGAATACATATGATATCAATAACTATATTATATATATTGCATTTACTGCATTGTGAGGAGCTGATTTCAGGCCGAAATCAAACGACGAATTTTGTTGTTACAGATTTTTTCCTTATTTCATTACTCTTATATCGGATTATAATTTACTAACCACTTGACTTCTCTGAGGCATTTGATTATATGGATCACGATTTATTGATGAATATTCTTCGTTATCTAGGATTTTCGAGCAAGTAAGCTCATCAGAAACTATCTTGCTGAGAGAATAGTCAGTGCTTAATAACAATCAAGATTCAATTTCTTCCCAAGTTCATTCAGGAGTACTCCAGGGATAAATCATCGGGCTGCTCCTTTTTGTGATTTATACATCACAATTTCCTTCTAGAATTCAACTCTTTTCAGTTCACACCTATGCTGATGATACTCAAATATATCTTTCTTTCGATGAAAACAACTTGAATCATCTGTCTGATTAGTACTATTTGAAGATAAATCCACCCAAGTCGAAAGTTCAATTATTTGGAAGATCGGCAGCTAGAAAGAGATGCATATCTGAATTGAAAATTGTGATTGGCAATGAGTTTGTACCTATAGAGAATAGCACAAAAAATCTGAGACTTATCGACAATACCCTTAGATATTCCTTCAACGTGTCTTTGATTCTAAAAAGAGCCTATGGCCTGAGATTGATATACTCAAATGAAAACATTCTGAATGAGCGATTAAAAACAAATTCATGTCAGTTTCTCGTGTTATCTCACGCAAACTAGGCTGATGTGGTTTTTAGTTCTTTCCTTTTGAAATGTGATGAAACTAGATTGCAAAGATAACAGAACACCTGTGTTCGTGTGGTTAACGTAGGAGAGACCATGAGAGCACTTCACGCTTGCTGCTTTTTCAAATGAATCCTGACTAACAAAAGTCCTCTCTATTCATACCATAAAATAAGATTCCGAACGGATGTTAATAATCTAAATATCCGATACATCAATGCTAACTCCACCAAGTCACAGAACAGCTCTCTTTAGAGGTTCATTTTAATGCTATGTAACTTGAATAATGAATAGTGGTTATAAAGACTTACCTTTGATTTCATTCAAGAAACACATTATGAATGAAATTTTGAACAAATCTCTTGCACTAGGAGTCAATTGAAGCATCCTCTTCAAAAAAATTGATAATAAATGTCCTTTTGTGCATCTACTTGAGGTTAAGTGGAAGAACAAGTCTCATCTGCCGACTAGACTTGAACTCTGCCTTTTGACTTATATTATTTTCTTTATATTTTGTATTGTCACATTATTATGTATTTATATAATTTATATTTCAGTCAATAAAAATGATATTATAATTGAAACATTATCTGAATCACCCCATAAATGTGAAAGCGAATCCGAAGTGTACAAATTAACTTTGCTTCACTTCACAAGCTAAAACGATGAGTTCAGAGTGAAGTAAGTTTCCTTCGGATCTAGCCTCTAACGTTTAATTTGGACAAAGTACACGAAACTTCATTAAATCAAACACGTACGAGCTAATAAATTAAATAAATATGTGGGGAAGGTATTACTTACGTCGTCATGGTGATACCAGAAGATATACGCCGGTGGCTCGGGGCTGAATCTTATGGAGCACGTCAAGTTGATGGTGCTGCCCTTGTCCACGTGAAGATCGGGGCCTCCGAGAATTTGTGCGGTCGGAACTAAAATTGAGACAACAATTACTCATTTGCTAAATTACAAGGCATACTAACGACACAAACTCTTTCTGCAAACGGATCAGCAAAGTTTGTTAGTGAATTGGATGCACAGGATGAATTAATTTCAGGTTAGAATTACAAAAACAGACTCTGAGAATTCAGAAGCGGAAATTCATTGGAATGAATACGATGGAAAGTGTACTCTTGTTTGATAAACCTGAATATGTTCTTTGATTCACCGGAATCATATTATATGAAAGGTAACAATAGTAGCAGTACATGCTATACGATTCATTATGTATCGTTATTAATGAGTTGAGGACGCCCTCAAGAGTGAGGTGTTAGAATATCGCTATTGGAGAGATGTCACTCGTGGGGATGAGAGTCTTCTGGAATGATACCTCATCCTTCTGTATGTGTATTTGTGCCAAGAGACTCGTTATTGAAAGCTTTCACGGTTACGCGGGAATCTATATTTCTTCTCTAGCTACTCGTGGGGCACTTTATGGACCATGTATTATGGACATCAGAGGTTCTCAATTCTGTTGATATTGCTAACAAACCTAGGAGGCTTAGTAGTGCAGCCAGTAAACGACTGTCAGGATATCTCATGGATCTGACTTCTTGAACAGCAGAAGTAGAATCTACTTCTGGAAAGGAATTAGAACTTCCTCTGAGCGGGTTAGCAAACACGGTCAAATGATGATCCACCCAATCCAGCGAAGAAGAGCTCTACATGAAATTGTTAGGTACAGTTGAGGTACAGATGCATTCATATGAAAAATTTGCTACTGGGGTGGAAATCTTGCACATGGAACATTCGACAATCTCGATATCGATCAATCATTTGGAGTCTCTTCAGTATGCCATTATGACTGTCAGAAAATAGTCCAAATGTACGATTCCAGAGTTGCACACATCAAATTTGATGACTACAGGTTATCTGAAGGATCAGGAGAGCGACTCTGATAGGTGCAGTTGCCACTCTAACGGGAGGGCGTCTTCCCGAAAACGTTGAAGATTACCTACTTTCCGAAGCAATTTGTGTGGCTTACCTACCTGACGAAGGTAGTTGCAGACTAACCATAGATCGGATCCTTATAAGATTGAATAGGTGTGAGCCACAATAAACCCTTTCGGGTTACGGTGGAGGGTCGAATAGAGCCAGTCACTTTGGACTTACTCTACTGACTCGTGGAATATTGTACAGAGTAAGCTTTCGGGAAAGAGTTTTTGGCAAAAATCGATTCGTTTGTGAGGAGGACATTTTGACTTCAAAACTATCACAAAATTGTGATGCCCCATTTGGTTGGACTTTCGATTCCCTATCTGTTTCTGTTTTGATTTTTGAAACCAGTTCAAACCTTTAGAAGAGAAATTTTTGATATACCACCACTACGTTTTTCTAAAAATACACAAGCTGAATCGATGCCAAATAGAAAAGCAATCTAAAAGCTTTAAATTTTTTGAGTGAACGAGCGATGCCGATGAAAGACGGTAGTTTTCCATATAATACGTTTTTGGGTACGTTTAACGGTATAGTTGATAGTCAGACCTGTCATACTGGATCGATAGCAAAGTCAGGGTTATACCTGTGGTATGAACGAATTGATATTTCAGCTTGGACCTTGTTTTCAACCTGATTTCCTACCTGGATTTATTCCAAAATACTGTCGACTAACTTCTTATCAATATCATCAAGAATGATCATGCATATTCCGAAGAGAAAATGATATTCTATCAACACTCTCATTCTCTATGCCATCACAAAATTTTCGTAATCATTGGAAGGTTCCAAGGTCGTTTGATAGGACAAAGGAATGAAACTGTGCGGCCTTCTCTGTCACCCGATTTGGGTCTTCTATATTATTTTTTGTAGAGACATATGAGGAAGTATATGTATCGCCTCCTTCTTGACTAATTCAAAGAACTGCTAGGCAAATCATTAATGTATGGCTTCGTAGTGGCTAAATACATGATTCCTACAGTGTGTTTTTCAGTATAATCTGAGGCTTCTTTATGCGTGAACTGACTTTCAGAAGTTAGCAGCCACCCCAGTTAAGTCTTGGGGTGGCTCACCCTGTATTTGTTTACAGTGTGACTGATCGAACTAACACCAAAGTAACAAAATATGGACTAATAAGAAATGATTCATTAAGAATGATAAAACTATAATAATACTGAACCAAAATTTCTGTCAATATTTCAAGACTTTCTATCTTCTTATTTTTCATTTCATAGTTCAATAATCTAACCACAAAGTATCTACATCTACCGAATGGCGGTGAATATTCGTTAGGAATAGTGAAAACGAAAATGCTGAGAAACCAAACTCTTGGACGAAATTGAAGTTGGAACAAAGTATAATAAGTTCATTGTATGGCAGAAGCTAGCGACATTTTATTATGCTATAAATAAAATGAAATTTTATATAGGAAAATGCTAAGCTCCTCTTTCAGATTCGTAGCATGTAATCGAAAAATTTGGACGTGTCTGAAAACATCCACGACGTGTAAAGGTTAATGATATACTGGTCCGCTCAATTACTAACACCTCGTACAACTTTTTTTCACAAATCAGTGAATAATGAATGGAAAATAGTGTGCCAAATAGATAAATATATATTAGGGGATAACTTGAATGGAAATTCAACCCATAACACTTGCATAGTTGCCCAAATAGTCGATTTAACTTCTACTTGCGGACATAATAATGTTGTTTCTAGCCTATTTTGAAGATATTGTGTAGCAGAAAATCCTAAATGCAATGAAAATTGCTCAAATCAGAAGAGCGAAAAAAGTAATGTTTGACTTCGGATATTGAACGGAAATATTGTAAAATTTTTCTCTAGTAACTTTAATGGACCAATATTTACAGAACTTATGAATAATAAAAGAAGGTTTTTCAATAGAACTACCTTCAGTGGTAAATTCATCTGATACAGTTAGATGGTGCTCCTGCATACAATTGTCGGCTCGTTAGTTTTTTATGAAGTCGTAACAGTCCATTAGAAACATGCCCCCTGGATAACCAGAGATTACCCGCTGTATTTTTTTTCAGTCAAGGCATTCGAAAAACAAGAAAAGATCTGTGTGAAGTCATCGTAAAAGATGGTCAAAAGATGCTATTTCAAAAGGAAAATGAGTTTTCTGGGATTTAACTTACTCAGGAGTTATAACAACATGGATGTGTGGAAAACACGATTTTCAACTTCTTAAATTAGTTTTAAGGATTTATCAAAATTATTTTGTACAACAAGGGTTTTGGGGATGGGAACCTGGATTTGAAAACTCATTTTTATTGACCTCATATGAAAAATCGACTCCGGCACCCCATAATACACTGGAGCAATTGAAAATATGTTTTTAATAAGTTGAATAGAGGTACATTTGATTATCCACCAACTCCCTAAATTTGTACAAATAATAGTTTCATCAATTAAGACGTGGAGATGAATTCAAGAGAAGCAATCCATAAGTATAATACTGTTGAAAAACAATATTCAAATGGATTTTCAAATAATAAAAAAAAGATGTCGATATACTTGCACAATGAACCTTTTCTCAATATTTTTATCTATGTTATTCATGAAAATCACAATCGAATAATTTTATATAATGTAACAGAATAGTTGAATATCAACTATTTCTCACTGATGAGCAAGATGATTTAGAGGCAAGTGGCGGCTACCACTTTGTTAGTATTGGGTTTATAAAGAACGCATTTGAAATTATTTTAGGCAGTAGCAGTCAGTAGTATTATTGTAAATAAATCATTTCCAACTCAAACATTAGTGTATTAGCTCAAAGGATAGAAATAACCTGTAACCTGGACCATCGAGGTTTTTAGGCGGATGACAACTACAGTTACATTTGTGTTCTGATTCATCCTCTTTGGCAGGTTCATCCCCCGCTAATCCATCTGCAACAAATATTAACAGTGCAGGATCTCCTGGTACCCATTTTCTGATAAAAATAACACCAATAATTTTTATTACTGCATTTGTCACTTGGAAATGATTGACTATAGAACAAACTACCCTCCCGTGTCTATAAAATGATAAATATGTATTTTCCGGATGAATGTAATGATAACGTCCTAAAAACGTCAACTATATGATGTTGGATAAGAGCTTGTACATCGCGAAGAAGACATTAAGAATGTCAATTATGTCCTAATGGCTGAAATGTTTTCCGGATAAAGCTATTTCAGTGACCAGAGAGAAAAACTGCTTGTTTAGTTTCGTCACGTAATCTGATGCGATATATCATCAGCTTCTGATTTAATAGGACGATTTGCTTTTGATGTTTTATACAACAGATTCAGCCGTGATTTACAGATACTGAAACAAAACACTCCAATCAAGGATCAAAAGCTGAAAATATCGGAAAACTTCGTACGGAATTACGATTCAGACACGTGAACTCAACCCTTTGGTAACGGAGGATAGACTTATATAAGGCAATACATCATTATGCTTCGAAAAATAGAGAGTAGTTTACTTGCAAAAGGTCCGGTAGCTGAACATTTTTTGTTGTGTGGGATGGTTGGGAAGTATTTCAAATGTATAGTTCATAATAGCAGGGGAGCCCACGATGCAAAATGGGGATTTACTCGAGCGTCATAGAGACATATTAGGTTGCAAAGCTTAGATGATAACAAGAAAAACATGTTATATAATATATACCTTTTCATCGGCGGGGGAAGCTGCTATAGATTATTAAATATGTGAAAAAAACTGTTGCATGGACATACTCGAGCGCGTCAGATATTGATACCATCAATGTCCTACGTATTTTTAATAATGTTGGTATGTTAATCTGATCGTTTGCATGATGTGGGTGGTTGTACGTAAGGGTTAAAAATAAAAAAAAAATTAATCGAGCGCGTCAGATTTTCTATGGGGATGTTAAGTGCACCAAAAAAAAGCTCTCAATCAATAAACTGACGATTTCGATCTGACGCAAACTCGCGGCCATTATTATAATGTGCAAAAAAAATTGTCACTTTGAAATATTCAAGCGCGTCAGATTAAGATATATATGGTTCATCTTTATGTTTTAGACGTGCTGTCTCATAATCTGACGATTATCTAGAGGGATTCGCCTGATCTGACAAAAAATATTTTGATTTTTTTTTCAATCATTGAACTTAATTAATTGAAAAGCTCAGGAAATAGCATGCAAATAAATAAGTGTATGTTTTTTAAGTAGAATACTTGTATTTATAAAAAAATATTTAAAGAAATAGCTCGAAAAAATTCAGTTTTTTATAATCAATTGATTAATTAATGAAGAAAAGAGAAATGAAACTTTCTATGTTTTTACCACTTTTATTTGTAACTAACGTTACTGTAGGTACTTATACAATATATAAGTTTGAAAATGTCCTTATAGGACGAAACTGCAGTAACGTTAGTTACAAATAAAGTGGTAAGAAACATAGAAAGTTTAATTTCCCTTTTCTTCATTATGATTTCCTACCACGTAGTAACGGCTACATCCATCAATTAATTGATTAATTATTCATCATCTCCATCTTCATCACGAACGAGTCTCTGTGATCAGCTGTGATGCCGTCATGGCAACAGAATTCAGAGTGGGAACGGAGTGAGAGAGTAATAGATAGAGAAAAAGTTAATAGAGAATAGAGGAAAAGAAACTCGGAGAGGGAAATATAGGTATCACACAGCTGCACGCATTGAACTTTATCGACGAATTTTTGTTATTTCGGCTTGCGGAAATCGTCAGATTATATATTTTTCGATATCCTTGAATTATTTTCTTCAAAATAAAAAAAATTAGGTACGCTCGAGAATGTCGACATGACGTTTTTTTTACAACTTTGCTGCCCTCCCTTTTCTTTACGTCACTCTCAAATTGTCAGATTACTGGAATATAGACGTTTTGGCATGTAATTAACTCACCCTACCTTAATCTGACGCGCTCGAGAGTTTCTGATGATAAATTTTTTTTTCACTAATCTAATCCTTTATCTTTCACGGGCGACCTTATACATATATGGGGCTCATATTTGGTGGAGGTACTTAACCGGGTACAAGGAATATTAATATGCCGCGCTTCAGTAAATCCCGAAATCCCCGCTTGGGCTCCCATATTATAACTATGCAACATGAAATAGACATTTATCAATTATCCCAAAATAAAACATCGACATTCAAAGAATCACTTGCATATAAAGGCATAATATACGTTGCCTCAAGATATTCAAAATTTGTATATTATATCATTTAAAAAACAAATGAAGGAGCTATTAACTAATAAGGGATATTCTAGCGTAGAAGAATTCTTAGAAAGGGGTAAGTACACTGTTATGATCATTGTTACTTTAACTGCATTTCTTTTACCCAAGTTTAAGATTAATTTACTTTTATGTATATTTATATAGTATTGAATGTATATTTATATAGTTGTATGTGTATGTGTTTTTTAATTTTTTATATATGAATATAGTGAAGTACCTGTCTAAAGTGTCCGATCTATGTTATACTGTGGACCGTTATTATTGTTTTATATAATTTTTACATTTTTCATTGATGATATGTCCTATATCATGTGAATGATCGAAAAGACAAATAAAGTTATTATTGTATTATTGAAGTACCCAACTTCTCCGCACCCGCCGCCATCTGTAAAAAACCGACATTTCGACACGGTTGTTATGAAAAAACATAGAATAAGATATCACAAAATGACAAAACAATGGAAATAAATAAATATTTTGAATACTCTTACCCGCGACTTGATGAAAATTAGTTACACTTTCCGCGAAAATGATTATAGAATTTTCAGAATAAATGTTATTCAAAACGCATTTCGCTACACGATAGCTTCATCAGTTACCAGAAACAGTCTTGAATATGCTATGGTTTGTCGGATCATTTCTGGGTATGGCTCTCCATCTTCCTGAAAGAACGTTCCCTGCAAGTGACCGTCGATAAATATCTCTTGAATACTTTTACCATCAACGGTGGTGTTCCTCAGGGATCCATATTGTCTCCAAACCTCTTTTTATTGTATATTCAAGGACATCGGCTACGGAGGAACATCTTCACCGGCAGCAGGAGGTTGAATATCTTAATAAGGATCTAGAAGTGATTTCGAATTGGGGTGAAAGTAACCAGGTACAATTCCCACGTATCGGTTTTCTCCAAGAAGATACATGTCTCCGAACCGGATATAATAATGTCAGGTCAGACAATTCTGCTTTCTGCTTCGATAAGTTTGTTGTGGGTTGAAATGGAGACCAATATGTCTTGGCACAATCATGTCGCTGGGACTGCAAAGGCTGCTTCTGAAAAACTTGGAACACTGTTCTGAATCAGAAAACTGTACACACCTCAGCAACTTTGGATGCTTTATAACGCTCGGATTTCATTCTTTTCATGTATGGAGCTCCGCCCAAAGCATACGTCTATCAGTTTTTCTCAGCTTCTATTAATATTTCAATTTTTATTTGTTTGGCTGTTGTTGTATGTTATTTCTTTGTAATTTCAGTTTTTTGTTTAATAAAATTGTTATTTTAGGTTAATCTTTTTGATTTTTTTCAAGGTTATCAAATCAATCCATATTATATTAGACAATGGAAGTCCTAACTGATGAAATACACCACGAAACATTGTCAACCACCTTCAAACAAATCCTCATGGACGTTAGCTGTTTGCGGTGGTTCGAGCAGCGAGACCGAACGATCGATTTTCACAGCCCGTCCTTCAACTTGTGTTGAAAGAAATTGCCCGTTAAAAGGTGAGACCTCGTTAATACTTAGCTCACACAAGTTCCGAATTCTGATGTCGTTATCAATTTTCACTCTGTATTCTGTTACTGAGAGGCAACTTTTGAGTGACTCATAGGAATTTCTCCGCATTCCCAAATCCTCAAGTGTTTCTAGAAGCAGTTTATGATCGACTGTGTCTTATACTTCTGCATATTCACAAGCTGTCTCACAAAATAGCATTTTTGAGGGACACTGGCTGTACCGCTCAAGTCTTGGAGCTCATCTACTCCATTTCCATTTTCCAGTGTTTTTATCACCATACAAGGATACCATGAGTTGCTTCCAGGTTCATGGAATTTTTTCTGAGTGCTATCAAAGTCCTTGAACTCTTCCACCGGCTTCAGCAATAATGGAACTTCCCTGAACAGTGGGCAAAATTCATTTTTTTCACAACTGAAGTTGTTTGAAGTGATGTTGCAGTCCAATGTTGCGTGCAGGAGCACGCCACATTGGACTGCAACATCTGGTTGTTTCCTCTTGATGTTTTTTGTTGACATTTTCGACGGCGGGTGTTGTGTCCATCTTCAAAACATGTGGGTTGATATCTTCCCGGAAAATGGCTATGGCATCGTATGATATAGACAGGGATTTTGCTTTAGCAACTATTAAACTGTCACCGTCTTGCTAAGCATGATCTATAACGATGTTTAAAGCTTTTTGATGCTTGGTGATCAAATTAAGTTGCCCATAAGTTTTATCTAATACGTGTTTCCCTAGAACGGGGTCATTCGCCCTTCGAAGCTTGATACCAAAGAGTTGTTGGACTGCAGTAGGGATGAACTACGATGTCTAACAGGCTTTCTTACAGGTCACTGTCATTTGAATCTTCATATGCAGAGACTCGGACTGTCGGAAGACAGTGTGTGTCGCCTCTATTTGGAAAATGATGAAACAGCAGAGCACATACTTTGTGCCTGCCCCACTGGGGACCGAATCAAGTTTTTAGAGTCGGCAGAGCCGTACTTTTACCATCTGACCTGAAAGACCACTCACCATACAAACTTATCGGCTTTGTTGAGAAGCTGGGTTTATTTGGTAGAGTGTGAATAGGTGTTAGCCACAATAAACCCTTGCGGGTTACGGTGGAGGGTCGAATTGACACACTTGCTTTGGACCTAACCTAA